GCTCGATGATATTTGATAAAATTAATATGGAACGATTTAGACACCAAGATCTGAAAAGTTCATGAAAACGGGATAAACGTTAGTATAAAAAAATGTAATGTAAAATAAATTACTAATGTAAATTTAAAAAAAAATTATTATCGTGAATAGCCAGCACTAGAGAATTCTGCAAGGGGCGCGGCCTCCCTTCGGTGGTGGAAAGAAAGTTCCAAAAAATGACTATTTAGAGAAAAGAGAAATATAGGAAAAAGTCATCCTCTAAGACATATTTTCTAATGTGATATAAAAAAAAAAAAAATATCGTGAACAGTATTCCAGCAGGGGACTGTTTAATGAAAAGAGAAATATAGAGAAAATTAATCCTCAGAAACGATTTTTCCAATGTAATATTTTAAAAAATTATTATCATGACCATTTTTATTAATCTTTCGGTTTGTCATATCATGTTACCTCATCAGGCAAGGGGCTAATTTGGGCCCGGCCTTCGGCGCACGACTAGATTTTGTGTAACAAAGAATGGAATGTAGCAGCAAAAGTTGGCTCGTGGGATGTAGAGGTTCCTTCCTACTCCTATGTAGAATTGAGTCCTACCTACTGACTCCGAACTGAGTCTCGCATGTAAAATACATAATGGAGGAAAATTAATTTTTTTAAAAATGAGCTCCATTTATTCTTTCGAAAAAAATATTTTATTCGAGCACATGAAATACGGTTTTTCTCCCCGACCCAGTTTTTATTCAGTTCCAATAGATCTGGAAGCATTGGAGCCTCCAGCAACTACGAGTATAGTCTGCTTGCAGAATCCATGAGGTTCATAAAACTGGTCACAATAATAATTTGTATATTTCTCATTAGAAAGTGTTGTACTTTTCTTAAAATAGCTACCGTTTGAAACGTATTTATGAAGGAAGGTACTAATTATTTGGTCTCCCATGTGATCTAAATCTCACTTTAAATTATGAGTTTTTATCTTTGAGAACTCATTACCAAGCTTATTAGCCATTTGTAGTCTCTGTCTCAGATTTTGACAATGCAGGTAAAAATTAGTATTCCATGCCACTTAATCAAATTGTTAAGTTTAGGTACTCGTTCGAAGCACAATTTGACATTCTTTAATTTCTCAAGGAATACGTTTGATCGGCTGTGTAGTAGAAATACATGAAAATAAAAGATCCAGTAAATCTGGATTTTTTGGATGCTAAAAGTTTTCTCTTGGTGACCCGTGTTAGCAATTTTGTTTTTTACATATTTAAACTCAGGGTGTCCTGTAAGTAGAGGGTCATATTTAAATGAGTGATAGCAGAACTCAATAAATCCAAAAATGTTTATATAAACAATGGTTCGATTTTCAGCAGGAAGGAAGGAAATGAAAGTTTTGTGATTTTTTTACATAAGTCACATTTTTTGTTGAATAGGAAGTGGTAACTAAAAAACTATTTAATTTAAGTAATGAACGATTGCTTCCTTTTACTAGACAATTTACTTTAATAAAAATAGAGTTTGCTTTTTTTAAAACCATTTAAAGAAGACATTTGAGCGGCTAAAATCAGCTTAGGAGTGGGGGAGATGGGTAGTAGTGGGGGAATGGGTAGGGGGAGAAGTATCTGGTACAAGGTGCGACCTCCCTCCCCCTGAGAAAATTCCTGAATCTGCCCCTGCCCCGCTCCCCCCCCCCTCGTGCCTTTCATGTAAACATATTTTGCAATCTATCATCTCATTCAGTGATTGTCATTACCATTTTAACAGATGTGAATAAAAAAATTAAAGTTAAAAAATACATGCTTTCCTCCCACTTCCTAAAAGTGACAAAGTGACAGTTTTTCGTCTTTGATACTAAGCCATTCATATATCCATACATCTAAATTATTTTTTGCTCCCAGATTGTAAAAAATAACGTCTTATGTGTGATTTTGTTTCTTTTGAAGTACCACCAACTCATTGTAACCTCGATCTCTCTACTTAATTTGAAAGAAGTAAAAGATCAGAATTTTTAACTAGTTATTGTTGAATGGACGTCAAATTTCAAGTATGCATATGCCCTCTTTTTATTTAATTTGTAAACGTCGTTCATATTCTTACATTCCACATTAAATTAATTTTGTTTCGATTGATGGAAAATATCGGTACATCCAAGGAATAATTGGATTGTTCAATGAATTTTTATTTCATACATTTTACGAGTGAAAACATATATATTACATACAATATAAACATTCATACTATATTCGGAATAGTTTATGTTCGTGATTTTTTTCTTTAACAAGAACAATAAAATTCGCAAATGTGGAACTCTTTCGCATTTTTGTATTCGCTAATGATATTAATCATGGGTATCTAGAGATGAGCAGTACTCGATTACGTTCACGATTTGAGTACTTTTATTTTTAAAAAGTATTGAGTAGTTTTTGTACTTACCCCAACCGCGGCGAGTACTGAGAGTAGTAATCACAGTTAGTTAAGTACAGAAAGTACTCGCGATGTTATATCCAATTACAGAAACTACTCAGCCAAATTCCTCCGAGTACTTTTTATTTTTCAACTACTGCAGTATTTTCATTCAATTCCTTAAATAATAGCGTCCATATTGACTTAATGTATGGCCCACTTAATCAATTTTAGGACCACTATTATGTTATCAGCATCACTCTTTATGAAAATAGTGTTGGATTTGAGAATGCGAAATTAGGCATCAAGTTTTGGTCATTTTTCGAATTTAATTGACATTAGGGTCTGTCGGGGGGCACTTTTTATGCAATACAACGGTTGCGCATTATAAAATCGGACAGTGTTTTCATAAAAAGTGCCCCAGATAACATAACAGTGGATTCCAATATCAATTAAATCTGAAAAGTTACAAAAACTTGATGCGCGGTTGGGCATTCTAAAATCCGTCAGTATTATCAAAAAAGGCGGTCTGGCAATATAACTATGGATCCTAATATGGAATAAATCCTAACTATTTTAATAAATCGATAATTTATTGATTCACATAATTGTCGATAGCATTTTTAAAGACTATAAACCCCATAGCATAAGAATGGACATAAATTTAAAAGAAATATAAAGTTTTCTACTCCTGTAAGTAATCAGGAGAACAGCTGAGTAGTATTTATACTCGTCAATCATCGGATCGAGTAGTGATTAAAGTACTCGATATGTAAACCATATGGGTATTTTGCTTCCTCACTACCGAAGGTGCGGGGGTTAAAAACAATTTTGTGCTCAGAATCGAAAATTTACTGACTTACGTGCGTTTTAGGTTTCAGACATCAAAGATCAAATTTGGTTCGTGTCTGTCTGTCTGTAGTCAAATGGATGTGACGGGCATATCACCTAGTATCCATCATCCGATTTTCATGAAATTTTCAGGAATTATACGGATTGGTCAACTATGCGGAAATATCAATTTCATTAAATTCTAACCAGCACTTCCGCTTACGCACGATAAAACGCATTTTTGTAGGTATGCCAATATTTCAGAAATAGCTCGTTTGATTTGGCTCAAAATTGGATAAAGGGTAGTTATTTGTGAAAAAATAAAGTAGGGACAATTTTATCGAATTCTATCCATTCCTTTCTCTTGTATATGCCCAAATGCGTTTTTCTTGATACGCCTATAACTCTAAAACCGCAAGTTCGATTTGGCTCAAATTTTGAATTTAGGGATGGGCAATTGTAAAATGAAATAGGCACCAATTTTATCAAATTCTATCTACACCCCCTAGAAAAATACTTCCGCTTTCAGATCAGGAATGTGTTATTTCGTATGCCTAGAGTTTGAAAACGGCCCATTCGATTTGATCCAAACTTGGAGGAAATTTAGAACTGTATAGAAATTACTTATTATCAATTTAATTGAATTCCATTAAATAATCAAAATTAATATAAATAATTTTTAACAATATAATGGCTGCGAAATGTTGAAGGCACTTAGCCTGAGCATATGTAGTGGGAATTAGGTTATTACAATATTATTATGGGGTTATAAAATTTTAGGTTTTATTCAAAAAATTAATTGATACTGTATTGTTTGGTCGATTCAGAACGTTACTAGCATGACACTTACTGCCGTTACTTAGATTTCATGTAGTTTTCAATACATCTAAAGTAATTTATACTCTTGAGTTTGTAGAAAAAAGAACGTCTTATTTGTGATTGTGTTTGTTTCCTTTTGAAATTCAATCAGTTCGTCTTGGTCTCGATATCCTTCTTAAATATCGAAGTTATGTGACTTCATCCGTATTATTATATTTTATACCTTAAAGTTTTTGTTTTGACAGAAGGGAAGTATTGGTCACGTTAACCCCGAACAAACAACAACTTGAATTTTTTCCTATGGATTTTCAACTTTTATTCTATTTGTGCTAAAGGTGACATTTTGTATTCTGCAACTGATATAATTAGTCTGCTATTATGAAAAATAGCAGAGAGCAATAAAATATGAAATTATACTAATAAATAAAGAAATAATGAGTTTTATGCACTCTTGCAAAACAATCAATTTTTACTTACGATCTTTTACACTAACAGTAGTGATATCAATTGATTATGTTTATGATGTTGAGTAAATTGTGCATTTTCTCCTTTTTCAAACATTTATAAATATAATTGTTGTTTTATGGTTGACAGTAGTGAATAATTGAAGAGAAGGATGGTTGGAGTGATTAGACAAATCTATATGGTAAAAAAAAAATTATTTATTTTTTACCATTTAAATTTGAGTGATCACCCCAACCATCCTTCTCTTTATTTATAAATGTAATTTATGTTTATTTATTTTTTATTATACCATTTCTCGATAAACTCAACATTCATTGGGCCTAGTTCTTGTTAAATCTAAATAAAGAATTTTCATCAAAGGATTTCGGTAAATTCTAATATTGTGGAAGGATTAAGAAATTGTTTCTCAGTTGTATAAAAAATCAATAACATTTATTAACACTTAAAATTAAAACAATAACAATAATACTATACAAGGCAAGTACTGTAATAGGTTTTTACTATCTTCCAAACAGTGTTTTTGCTCCCAGAAATGGTGATGATCCCAGAGAATATGGACCAAGATTAAGACCGCCGTAGGAACCACCTATGATACCGCCTTTGCTGTAGAAACCAGAGCCCAAATTTAAGCCATTGCCAAGAGAAGCTCCAGCAGAAAGTCCTCCTGCGGCTGAGAGTTTCAATTAATGATTATTCACAGCTTAGAAAATATTTAAAAATTAGATTTGATAGAAACTTACAGATTTGAGAAGAGCCCACGGAAACGGGTATAGCCTTGAAAACTGTGTAGGGCTGAGGGACAGGAACGAGAACTTTGTTGATAACATTCACAGGAACTGGAGATGGCACAGCTACGGGTACCGGTTGGGACACTGGCACTGAGACTGGCTGAGGAACATTGATGGCAATTGGTCTATCGACTGCTACAGCAACTGGCCGATCTACTGGAACGGCGACTGCGCGGTTGACTGTAACAGGCACTGGCCTGTCGACAGGAACAGGAACTGGCTGTGATACTGCTACAGGTACTAGGCGGTCGACAGGGACAGTGATGGTCTGTGGCGTTTGGGGAGTAGCCTGGCCTACTCCAGAAACCAAATTTACAAGATTTGTTCCGTAAGCCAAGTTAATTCCATTAGGCAGGCTGGCTGCAGAAGACGTATTGATTCCATTGAGCAGACTGGTACCAGAGGACGTACTGATTCCTGAAGTCAGACCAGCTCCAGATGAGGTACTAATTATAGAAGGAAGATTGGTTCCGGAAAGGTTAATACCAGATGGTAATACTATTCCGGAATTAGGTGCTGCCCCAACACCTAAGCTAATACCAGAAGGAACGTTCATTACAGAATTTAAAGCTCCTCCTGTTGTAAGAGTTATTCCTGATGGAAGGCCAACTCCTAAATTGAGGCCAGTACCTAAACCATATCCGTATCCTCCACCATATGCTAAGCTTGGTGCTATAAGTCCTCCGAAGATTCCTCTCTTTTCGTTTTTTTTCTTCTCTTCAGCCTCTACAAGGCACGAACATAATAGCGACAGGCAGATGATGTATGTGCTCTGAAAATATAGAATTTTGAATTTTTAATAATTTGATCTCGATAAGAATGATATAGGTCTGATAATGAACAGAAAAATATAACGGATTTCTTGTATTTATATTTTTTTTAAATTAGAAAAAAATCGATCATCCATTAACATAAAAACAGAATTTACTTTACCACAAACAGACGGTCGAAAAAATATTTGAATTATTGAAATAGTTTAAATACTACAAAAAAATATTTAAGATAAATATGTTGTCAATGACACTCCTCGGTAGAGCCAACAAAATAAAAATAAATAAACATGCATATGTCTTGTGTATGTTCCTTGTATACAGCCCTAATAATCAGGTCTTGAATTAGATTTTAACGGCTTACCAACTTAGTCATTCTAACGGTAGCTGGTTCTCTGATACAGTCGTCTGAGCAACTGATCACTTAAGGGCCAATGCGGTTTATATATACACTCACCGGAATAAGACAGTTCCTGATTAAACCACCCTAACTAGTATTGTATAATTGAATATAAGCTGCTACTGAAATAAAATAATCATGTGAGATTTTAAGAATTTAAAAAGAAACCATTTAATAAATGTATACCACCAGTATCTGATAGTATATTAAAAATAACAATTCTTCATATGTGGAAATAAAAAATAAGGTAACTCGAACAGTTTTGTTTTTCAAAACATATACCTATGACGTTAATTAAATGAAGTAGGTAATAATTGGCGTTGCGGTAGAAATCAAACACTCAATACAATTAATTTTTTTTTACATTCACTTACGTATATATGTAATTTATAGTAAGGTTAAGTATTGCGATCGTGAAAATTTTTGAATCTGAGTTTTTAACGAAAATACACGTTTGGGGATGCGATGAGTCCAAATAACCAAGTCCCGAAAAATGGTTTGTGTGTATATGTTAGCAGTCTAGTTCAAAAACGAAAAGTACGAAACTGATATTGTGTATTTAAGATAGGTATATGCCTTAGATGTGACAGCAACTTTTTCCTCAAAATCGGCTAACCGGAAGTGCCACTTTATATCAATGGTGAAACACATTTTTACAATTTTCTCAAAAACGGCTCTAACGATTTCTAACGAGGTCTTTAATATCATTTATGCCTCATTCCTGTTGATGTAACTTTTCAGGGCTTAAATGCCCAATGTTCATATGTGTCTTCCTCTAAAGTATCTTTAATACGGTTTATTTTAAATAATTAAATATCTCTCATTATTAAGAGTTACAAAAAAAAACGCTAAATATAACTTTTGAAAGAATTCAATAACTAAATAAAGGAGAAAAAAATCAAAATGCTTATCCAGGTCGAAAATGAATTTCCTGAAATACTAGTCAGAAGGTATACGTAAACGAAAAGTACGAAACTTATATTATGTATTTAAGATAGGTATATGCCTTAGTTGTGACAGCAACTTTTTCCTTAAAATCGGCTAACCGGAAGTACCACTTTATATCAATGGTATTTTTACAATTTTCTCAAAAACGGCTCTAACGATTTCTAATGAGGTCTTTAATATCATTTATGTCTCATTCCTGTTGATATAACTTTACAGGGCTTAAATGCCCAATGTTCATATGCTTCTTCCTCTACAGTATCTTTAATACGGTTTATTTTAAATAATCAAATATCTCTCATTATTTGATATATAAGAGTTACAAAAAAATGCTAATTATAACTTTTAAAATAATTAATAAATTAAATAAAGGAGAAAAAATCAAAATGCTTATCCAGGTCGAAAATGAATCTCCGGAAATACTAGTCAGAAGGTATACGTATAGTATATTATTGGAAAGTGGAAAACTAAAAAAAAAAAAATATCTAATATTGTTGGTTTAAGGTGGCGGAAAGTGGAAAAAAAATACTAATAATATGTAACGTAAATCACATACATGTTTTCAAGGAAATTAAATGAAATTTACTAACTAAGTGTAAACTATTAAAATATTTTTAAGTTTGAAAAAGTATTTAAAATCCATCTAATCAAGGCAATGGCATTGTTTAAAAAACTATTTCATTGTATTTGTGTGAAAGAAGAAGTAAAATATAAAATCATTTCATGGATGCATAAAGCATATGTTTATAACCTTAATTACATTTACTATAGTTTAATAATTCTAGATCTGAAATTATATTTAAATAATTAGGTATCAACGTTCATTTATTCCGAAATATTGTCATGTAATTTTTTTAGAAAATTAAATTAGTGAATAATTTTATGAATCTTTCCTTTCTGATATTCCAACAGCATCCCCTACTATTTCGTTGTAATTGTGTGGAAGAAGAAGTGAAATAAAAATATTTCATGGATATGTTTATAATCTCAAATATATTTGCTATAGAGTATTAACTCTATATAAGATATTATATTTAAATAATTAGGTATCTATCTCCCGTTTATTCCAAAAAAACACCAAGTAACCTTTTGGAAAATTAAATTAGTGAATAGTTTGATGAAATTTCTTTTGTGATATTCCAACAGTATCCAGTCACAATTAGTGTGTCAACTTTTGACCTGTCTATGACAGTCAATGCAAATCTCTTATGCAAATTCCGTTTCAATAAACTTTACAATGGAAAACAACAGTTTAATAACCAATAGTCGTACAATCCATAACCAACGGATCGTACAATCCATAATGAACCGGTGATATAATAGAACTTTTGTTATTTTAATGGAATTTATGATTTATTAGCTGCAATTTTTAAGCTTTAGCTCGGTTAAAAATTCAATTTAAAAATTTTATAATAGTCCAACATGATTAACTTGAGTTAATTATATAATTATAATTTTTAGCATATATTTATTTAATTATGTAAAATTATTCTCTTCAACCTTTCAAAATCTCTTCATAGACTAGTCCATTTACCGCTGAACACCTTTCTTCAGCAAAACGCTCTCCTCAATTCCCTCCAGTCTGGAATCCGATTCCAGTTCTCTACCCAACCTGCTTCGTTAAAAATCATCCAAGATCTTCAATTCTTCATAGACTAACATAATATATCTATCCCGTCCCTCATTGGTTTTTCAAAAGCCTTGGGTTCCGTTAATCGTGGAATCTTCCTTTCCAAATCACAAAGTCTTTCCATATCAAATAGCGTGCTAAAGTGGTTCCGGTCCTTCCGTTATCATAAATTCCAAATACCCATCACTTCTAATATAACTGCTTCCGTGATGTTCCTCAGGGATCTTAGCTCTCTTCAACTCTTTTCTTCATCTACATCAACGACCTTCCTGATTCCATCCATCATTCACTATACCACATATATGCTGACGACTTTCCAATCTACCTTTCCTTCCATCCTACAGAGAATGAATAGCTTGAGCCCATTCGAAAGGCTACAGGAAGATATAGATAGTGTTAACACTTGGGCAACCAACAAAGATTTAAAGGTGAATGTGGAGAAGACCAAAGCCATTCTCATTAGTTCCAAGCATCTTTTCAATACTTTTATCCTTATTATTCCCTTCGCAACCTCAATGGTTTTCCCATTATCTATGATAATTCCCCGAATTATCCAAAAATCAATACGGCAATATTTCGTAGATGTTTTCCTTTTCAGAACCTTTACTTCCAAAAACCCTTGATCTTTTTGCTCCCTGTTCCATTCGATCAACAAGGCATCCCAGCCCACAAACTTGTTTATTCTTTCTCATAGAACTATTTCCTTTGAAAAATCTTTTCTAATACGTGCTACCTTGTTTTGGGATTCCCTACTTACTTCCATACGCAAATTCTCATTCTTGACTCATTTAAACAACATTTATTTTTATCTTCTCTTCTCAGCCAGCAATCTTCCGAATGTGTGTAAGAATAATATTTTTGATTTTAGAGTTTTCAGCCTCATTTTACTGTTATTTTATAGATACCTATAGATTATCTATCATTTATATTTGAACACACTCATACAAATCTATCTATTACTTAAATGTTAACTTGTGCCTTTCTTTTAATTTAATTTCAAGACTCGATAGCAATGTAATATAATTAACAACAAGAAGATGAACATCCTATGCCAGATAAAAGTCACTAAATTGTTCATTATAATTATTCTTAGTGGACTGAATGTCCCATAATAAAATTTCCTTTCGTTTCTTCTTTCTTGCTAAAATAGCAATTTGTTACTTTATATTAAATTATTAGAGTGCTACCAATGGGTAGTTTCTCAACATGTTTCAGGTCATTATATCCATGTGCGAATTTACCAGATGTATTTTTTGTATACAGTTGTAAATATCATATAAATAAATAAATAAAATAAGTATTAAATTATCTTCTGACATTGCACGTGCGTTATTAAAATGCAAATGATCCCATAAAACCAACTCACGTCAGATATAATTATAGGATTAGTCAAAATAAACATTGATAGTTAGAAAAAAACATAATAGTTAGAACAAAAACAATCTCATTGGATTAATTATATTATAATTTATTGGATAAGGGTTGTGTTCATGCACAAGGACTTTTGAAACAACCTAGTACTTATTGTAAATTTTCGTAATGTAAAACATCTCATTTCTCATAAAAATTTAATTTTTTAGACTTTTCATTTTTGAAGTTTTGAAAATAACGTGGTTTCACTATTTTATTATCTACGTTACAACCCTTTATGGCCTAGGCCCTCGATGAAATCAGCTCCTTTCGGGGGCGTATTTTGGGGTCTCAGATACCTTAACTTTTTTCTATCATCTCTTTCCTCTTCAAAGGGATTAAAGCGTGAACTTTTTTCATCTGATGCAAGATAAGATGATAAAAAGATTAGTGATTTGAAAACATCATAACAAACAACTTAACCAAGAACTTCCCTCAAACTTTATTGACATATAATGTAAACAAAAGATATTAAACTAGAAAAGGAACCACATTTAAATGCGGAAGTTGCATTTATAGACTCAGTGATTGGTGTTACTCTTGTCACATCCATAACAGTCAGAAAGAGCTCACTCTAAGCGCATAGTACCATTGGCATACAGCACTGGTACCACAGCTTATCCTTGCCTTACAAGATGCATAATTCATCTTTTCCCCTCATGAAATTTTGGCCAAACTAATATTTATCGTTAACCAACTATTTTAAAAGAAATAGGTATCCTATGAGTTTGTTGTGTAGAGTTGTACATTCAGGATATTTTAGTGGGAAAGTTCAAAAACTTACCTTACAGTTCTGATTCCTTGCAACTTATCTCTTCTTTTTGGCCATAACTTATCTCAACGTGGATACAAACTTTATCACAACATAAATTTTATAGCCTCGTATTTTTTATAATTAACTTTTTTTTTAATTATGAATAATTACTATATTATATTATATTATCTTCTATAAATCGTTATTAAGTCTTAGAAAATTTATATTTCGATAATATCTCAATGTTTTGCTCATGCATAAATTGGCACATAACTTGAGATTGTTAATTTCCCATCGATAATGAGAAATAATTGCCTAAGGGATTATTTAGTACAGGCACCAGGGGACCACACGTGTTTATGAAAGAACTCCAAATTAACAAGAAGAGAGTACCTAAATAAAAATTAAAAACAAATATTAAAAATTAAAAAGCACTAGCGTATCCAAGATTTAATTTTGGGGGAGGCTTCTGCCCAGAAGCTTTATATATATAACGATTATTTCTTTGGAAGAAATAGAAACTCTTTTCCAACTTTCTTCCTTTCTCTGATCTGTACCTTTTAAGTCGATCATTTATTGATTAAATATTTTTCAATGAACATCTTGTCCACTGCATAATTGAGTACAATTCATAGTGCAACCCTACATTCCTAAACATTCCCCCACTTAATGTCACTTAAAGGAGTAAATACTAGAGGTCATCTACTACATGTATGAAATGGCGTTTAATTGATTTGAAGTTCTATTAAAATTTAACTATACCAACAATAATACCTTAAGAGATAAGTTTTTGGTATATTTTTCGTGAGACATGAGTATATTTTTTCATTTGGGAGAGGGTTTCAATCCGAAAGCTCCCATCACTCCCCGTAGGTCCGCCTATACAGGCTAGGACACTCTGCTTTCTGTAATTTTACGAACACTGAATTCGTCATCTTAGCCCGCCTTTGCCTATTCAATCGTTTTTAGTATCTCATTGAAGTAATTAATTTAATGTAAAACGCTCCATTTCTGAGAATTTTCGTAAATTAAAAAAGTTGTAGGTTACGGTAAGAGGAATCCATTCAAGAAGTTTCAGACGGGTTTTAATGATTTGATAAAATAATAATGAATTATAAAAAAAAATATTTTTATACATTTCATACATAAAATTGCGATTCAGAAAAAATAAAATATTCATTCAATTTGGCAGAAAAATAGAAATAATCTACAAGTTCTAAATAGTAAACAGAAAGTGCCTATAGTTTACAAACAGTCCAGTCCAATGTCATCAAATTACATTTAACAACTCCAATTAATGGTTAATTGTTATGAATAAAATGGTGGTGCGGTGTGAATGCGGCTGTGAACATATAAAATAGGAAATTATATAAGCTTTTAAGCCTAAATGTGGTTTATTAGAAAGCCATTTTGAAAATTCGACATTTAAAATCTATTAGGCGACATCAGTAAGATAAAACTTAGCTTAGATTACAGAATATTTAATTTTACACAGTTTGTTCAAAATTGTTTGAGCCATTTTCGAAAATATTATAATAAAGTGAAAATCTATTAAATAATGTTGCTCTGACCGTCAATTCTAAATAAAAACGCATGACTCTCGTTTTTGAGCAAGGAGGTTTACATAAACAAGACGATATTGCAAGATATTGGTATTTGGGAATCTTAAAATGTGTATTTATCTTTAAAATTTATACTCCATTTTTTTCAAAATCACAATACCTTGTCTTATTAAATATTTCGTAAGTAAAAGAAAATAAAAACAATTCTACTGTTAAGACATAGAATTACCAAAGAACGATATTATTAAGTTTATGGTTAATAGTTATAAGTTTGGGGTATCAAAGTATTAATCGCATGCGGTGTAATTTATTTTATTTTTTACTTTTTTATTTATTTTTTTCTCTATCCCCCAGGAATTTCTTAATTACAAAATACAATATATATATAAATGTATATATACATAAATTTTCAATTTCCTTTTATTGCCCAAGGGCATTTTAAGGTAAGAGGGCTCTGCACGCTGTATGCGTTCTTTGACATCTGTGGCCAGAGGCCTTTTATTATACCACTGGGCGTGGAGGGACCGCCCTGACGGTGTAATTTATGAAAAATATATTTTTATATACAATGGAGTTACCATATAATTAAATCGAAAGGAAAACGGCCGCATCATTCTAAAATCATTTTTTTTTTTTAGGATGAGCTGAAGATTTTTAAAAGTTGCGATTTCTTGTAGAATATAAAATACAATAAATTTAATTATTTCAATTATTATGTTTAGAATTTCATGGAGTTTTTATATTAGGCTAACTTGTTAATATGCAATTAGTCTAAGATGAGCTCTAATTCTTGTCTTTTGCCTTAAATTTACAACAAATAAACAATTTACTACCATTAAGGACCTATTTCATACTGAAAAAGCGAAATATAAAAAATGAGGATTTTACATTGGTTGTGCATATATTCTTCGATTTGTTGTGTGGTACTATTTGGTTCCATGTGTATTACAAAAATATTTAAATTAAAAAACAGGTTAATTTCTTCATATTTATTTATTTGATAAAAACAATAAAATAAAACATAACAATAAGTACATTAGCACAATAAATGTCAGTCTTCATCAAGAGATGTATTTATCGTCTACCCATATATATATCATTACGATTTTAAAGTGAGTCAGGCGATAATACATAATATTTCTAAATACACATGTGGCACAAATAATATGAACAATTAACGAGCATTCTTGTGAAATTTCTACAAGTAGAACAGTAGAACTAACGCCCATAAGCACCTAATTTATTTGAAAACAGTGATGTTCCAGCGTCTAAGCCTAGGTTTGAACCCAGAGATATTCCAGAACCTGTTCCTCCTAAAAAAAAAACATAAATCATCATTTTTATTATTTGTGAATTTGTAAGGCTATATCTACATTTTCCTTACCAATTGATGTAGCGCCAACTGAAACTGGAATTGTCTTTACAATTGGAACTGGATATGGGACTGGAACAGCTACGTTATTGACTACTGGTACCGGAAAAGGAGATGCTACTGGTACCGGTACTTGTTGTGATACAGGAACAGCGAATGGTTGAGGAACTGCTACAGCAACGGGTCTATCTACTGCTACTGCAACGGGACGGTCCACTGGCACAGCAACCGCTCGATTTACTGCAACAGGCACTGGCCTGTCAACTGCGACAGGGACTTGCAGAGGCACAGCGACATATATCGGCCGATCCACTGGAACTGCGATGGGCTTCTGAGATGCAGCTGTTTGACTTAATTGCAAACCGATCTGTGAATTAAGGTTCACACCAGACAAAATGCCGCTGCCAGAACTCAATGTTATGCCGGACGGAAGATTGATCCCGGGAGTTAAATTAAGTCCAGAAAGATTTATTCCAGAATCTGTTTTAATTACGGAAGAAACGTTTGTTTCAATGGGCAAGTTCAGTCCTGAGGTGAGAATATTTGCTGAATTAAGGCTGATTCCAGAGAGTGTTGGCGTGAAGAGACCTGTGCCCAAATTGATACCTTCAAGTACACCTCGTTTTTCGTGTGGTCTCTTTAAACCAGCTCCCAATACCATCGACATCGTTACTGATAACATGATGGTAGTTTCATACTGAAAAAAAAATTAATCCTGTTTGAAATCATTTTAGTGGTAATAGAGCATTAAGTAATATCATAGTAATATTTATAATAAAACATTTAAAATCAATTTCAATTAACCGGAAAAATTTCAACGGTATTCGTCATACATTTCTATAGTTCAAAATTATCAGATATAATTAAATAAACTTTAAAGATCAATGCAGCCAATTAAGTAAATTGATTATTTCAAAAACAACGCATCAAACATTTTGAAAATTTTTAAAACCATCCCAAAAAAACATTTCTACACTAAAATTTTCATTCACAAAATTCAACAAATTGTATATAACTGTAACAATAAATTGTATTTCATTTAAATACGTTTATAAGAATTACGTAGCCAGAAAAAGTGTTGTTTCTAAAATATCCGATCCAACTTAGTGGTTACTAACACTTTAGTATTTAACCATTTATAAATTAATCATTAAATTATAAAAGTATGAATCAGATAGATACCAATTTATTCATGTTGATGCTATTGTTAATGATTCTTTGAAGTTTAAATGACGACTGACCAACTTGGTATCGAATTCAGTTTTTATATCTGAGTACTAAGTTAGATTCATGCTAGGTGGGGGCCACATCAAAGATACAATAATTATATAAAGAACTTGAAACGAAACAGCTTCGTATCTCTGCTACTTGTGTATTACGAAATCAATTGAAATCATATATGGTACCAAGCCATTGGATTAGTTTAAATACATCGAGTATTATAAATTGAATACCTACGCTAAAATCTAACTTAAAAAAAAACGAAATATTTTAGTACTAGATTATATCAATAAAAAGGTATTTAAAAATCTGGTGCGCGCAACACACAACTTACACTTAACGCTCAACTATGAATAGAAATTATTTTCTGGCGATTTGGGCTATGATAAAATTTGTGAATTGTATTTTTAAAACTAAACGATTTTAGCTAACAAATCATAAATACTATTAAAATAACAAAAGTCCTATTTATTATATCACCGGTTGATTATGGATTGTACGACTATTAGTTATTAAATTGTTATTTTCTACTGAAAAGTTTACCAAAATAGAATTAAGATATTGGAGTTGTCTTTTGTAGACAGTACAAAAGTTGTCACACTAATTGCAAGTATATTTAACTACAGTAAGTAAGTTAAAAACATATCTATGAAATATTTTCACTTCTTTTTTCACACAAGTACAATGAAATAGTAGTGGATAATATTGGAATATCACAAAGAGAAAATTCCTCAAATTATTCACTAATTTAATTTTCTAAAAGTTTACATGATTTTTTGGAATAAACGGACGATAGAGAACTAATTATTTAAATATAATATCTGATCTAGAATTATTAAACTATAGTATATATATTATGAGTGGTTGATAAATGTTTCTAAATTTGTTAGTTAGAACGTTTTCAAACGTTATGGAATTTCAAATGTTAGATCGTTTTCTACAGTAAGGTTATAAGCGATTCCATGAAATATTTTTATATTTCACACAAGTACAATGAAATATATTATCTTAAAAAATGACATTGCATTGAATCCGTGGGTTTTAAATACTTTTTCAAACTTAAAAAACATTTTAAAAGTTTACATTTAGTAACAAAATGTCATTTAATTTCCTTTAAAACATCTGATTTAAGTTAAATAATATTAAATTTTAGAAATTATTAAATTTTTTTTTCGTCACTCTCTGTTATTTTTTACAACTTTCTATATTCTATATTGTTATTTTAATATCCACTTTCCAACGACATATTATACATATATTTATTTTCAACCTGGATAAGTATTTTTCTTTTTTTCTCCTTTACTCAATTATAATATTCTTCCAAAACTTACATTTAGCATTTTTCCATAATTCCTAACAATGAGTAATAGTTATTATTTAAAAAAAAAAGAAATTAAAGGCAATTTAGAGGAAGACATAATAATGTTCTGATTTCAAAAAAAAAAAATTCATTAAATTATTCAATAAATTAATTTTTTTTAAAGTTACATGACGATTTTTCGAGATAAACGGACGTTGATACCTCATTATTTAAATATGATAATTATAAACTTTCTATATTTTTTTTTAATCTCCGCTTTCCAACGATATATTATGCGTATATCTTCTAGCTATTATTTTTAGATATTCATTTTTGTCTTGGATTAGCATTTTTTTCTCCTTTATCCAATTATTCTTCAAATCCTTTCAAAAGTTATATTTAGCATTTTTTCGAATTATAAATAATGTGAAATGATTAATTATTTTTTAAAAAACATATGAAAGGTACATGAACATATAGAGCAAACGTATATGTACATTTCGCATTTAAGCCCTGTAAAGTGACATCAATGGGGATAAGACCTAATTGGTATTAAAGACCACTTAATTATACAAAGATTATACAATCCGAGTTGAATCATAAACGTTAGAGCCGTTCTTGAGAAAATTGTGAAAATTTGTTTCAGCGTTGATACAAAATGACACTTCCCGGTTAGGCGATTTTATGGAAAAAGTTGCTGTAATATCTGGGTCATACGCCTATCTTTTTTTAATGTTTTATTTGTTTATTTAATTAAATTTACAACTGTATACAAATACAACTAGTAAATATGCTCAAATTATAAATAATGGCATGTACAGGCTTGAACTTAGCTACTGCGTCACTCCATTTATTTAATGTCTACACATTATATTTTATGTGAAAAAGGAATTAACAAAAAAATTAAATGGAATACATGTGATAAAATACATAAGTGTGGACATAAAATAAATGGGTTGACGCAGTTACTGAAATAAGATGTCTCAGTGTGCTAAAAAAGGAAGTGAGCTAATCATTGAATAAAATGTAAAAATGAGAAAAGGAATATGAAGTTATATAAATTCAAGGATTTACAGTCAAGAATTTTTATTAGGTTTGCCAACGTTTCGACCCAAACATGTGGATCATCCTCAGTGCTATATTTTGAGAGTCGAGACAAAACCTCAATTGTTCATCCTAATAATTGATCAGTCGACTAATTACCCATCTCCATGATACAATAAGCCTGATGCAATGTCTGATTTCCAACTAGAAGGATTATGGTAACATGGTAACAAATAGGGTTAAAGGTAGAGGGGCTTAAGATCTTAATCTATGATTCAATATAATTAATTGAATATAAAAAGAAGATTCGAGATTCATATATTCATTTATATCATTTTGAATCAAACCATAAAATAACATTTAAGATCCTAAACTCAGTACAAAAATATTAGGCCGTTTTTCCTATACAACCTCGTTATTTTGGGGGTTGTAGGTCACGCCAAACGGCTTATTTTTTTTGAAGGCCACCTTTTTTTCTCGGTTTTGTGCTCAAATTACCGTACGGTCCAAGTGGAAAGCAAATGGGTATTTACGAGTTTTTAGTACCTAATGAAATAGACAAAGTTTGTCGACATCAAGATTGAAAACGCCGCAATTCCAAGAATGTTTATCAATAAAATATTTGTAGGTTTTGATGAGATAAAGGTTCATCTCATATATATATATATATATATATATATATATATAATATATATATATATATATATATATATATATATATTTTTTTTTTTTTTTTTTTGTTCTTCCCTACCTCGTCTTTTAGGCTATACGGGGTTTTCCCGGCCCGAGAATAGGGACAGGGAGGGAGGTGGAGGCCGAGAATTTCAAATCCCCTCCTCTCATTATTTCGGTTATCGGGTTACCGGCCTACTCGTGGTGCTGTGCACACTCATTAGCTCATTCGGCCACCCCGCCCTCAAGCTTAATAGTCTGTGGGCAAGACCCCCCTAACGTGCACGGCCCTCCCCGTTGGGCGCGTTTTTGGTGCATTATATTGATTGGCTTAACCAAATATTAATGCAATAATTTAATCGTCCAGAAAAATTAAACAATTTTTTTTTAATTTATTATTTTATTTCTTTTAATTTTTTAAAATTTAATTTCCTTTATTCTATACGGAGGTCGTTTAAGAATGCTTCTATTTTAATAATGATATAATTATAATAATAAAATTTAATTCAAAAATACTTTGCTAAATATCTTGAATTTTTTATTTAACATTTGCGATTCAACACTTTGTTTTATATATTTAATGATTCTTAGAGGTAATTTAAATTGTATGTACTTCCCCGGAAATAAGTCATACTAATACCTGTTTTATAAACTAAAATAATATATACCTAATCTGAACTATATATAATGAATAGCTACCGTGTTGTTTAGTAAAACCCATATCACTAAAAAAAAATTAACTTTTATGTTCTTTATTTTGTTCGGAAGTTGGAACATATCATAACAAAATAGGAAATTTTCATATTGAATGCATTATTCTTTCTGCACAAAGAAAGATGGAAAGGGCGAAGCTATAAGTTCTTCTACGTAACCGAAATTGATTGTTAGTATTTGGTCTCAAAATGATGAAAAACTCAAAATCGAACCCAAACATTGGAAAAATACATTAAGCGCACGAGAAAAGAAGTGCCAAAATCTTGAAAAAGAATACAAGGATCAGTATACATAATATGACTAAACGAATATATAGTAGACAGATGAACACAATATTTCAATATCCTGCTAAAAGGAGATCAAATGCTGGAGCAGTTTGTCTAATAATAAGGGGGCGATGCAGGTTTATTATAGTGAAGACCATTTTATCAGCAAGAAAGATTTGTTCGAAGCAATTGGCAAGTCTGCAGGTCTGGACGGATTAAAGTAGGTTTACTATGGTGAAAACTTAAATAGTTATTTCAAACGAGGTTTATTATAGTGAAAACAACTTTATTTGCGATCGCTACTGAAGTTGCACATTGGGACAATCTTCACTTTGAAGCAGGTTATAGAAAGATATATTGGGAAAGAGAAATAGCTCTCCTTCTGTTTAGTGCATTTGCAAAAGATTTTTGAAGGAATCTGAAAGGAAAACTAACTGTTCTATACGGAGG